ACTACCCATACTATAAACTACACCACAACTTAAACTTATGTCCTGCAGCTGTAAGTTATTATTGGGTCGATCTGCCATCGCAGTTTCTAGATGTCACAAAAAAAATTAGTTATATTTATAATACGTCGTTTGAATGCGAAATTGAACGAGAATTCTTCACCAATAAAAAATCTTCACCCTATCAAAAAAAAAAAAAAAACTAGGAAAGGCTTTTCTTGATCCGACCTTGTTTAAAATTCCATCGTAATAAAAGAGATTGCCTGGTGAATTTTTAAAGGATCTCCTTATACCCTTATTCCAGCGGTGTGGATTTCGGTAAAAGACACTCACTCATTCCCGAATCCTTAATGTGTCGGGAAAAAAGAGCCAGATAGTAACTTTTTTACTTTGCGGAAACGTGGCAAATATATCCTTATCTAATAAAGAACGCCTCAACCTGAAAAAAAGATGAAGTAATTGAATTTTAATAAATAATTCGGAATTGCGCTGCAAATCGATCCCGATTGACTCTGGCGTGTTGATTTTGATTTTAATACTTTAGGCATGAATTTGTTTAGGTACAAGCAAAGTGAATGATTAAGAAACGAGCGTGTAAAGAAGTTTATTAATGTGTTACTGTATTACTTTTTGCACAACAACTGAGTGATGTGAATGCGATACACATCTATCAGCACTCGCAATCGTCAAATTACGGTCAGTGTTCGAAATTCATTTATTATGGCCGGGACATTCCTTAACACCCTGTATTTGCATTTGGAACGAATCTGTAACGCTGAAACTAAAATCGAAATCGCTGTCGACAAGAAAGCAACGATTCGTCTGCGTAATGAAAATTCCGGCAATACGGCGAAATAGTCGAATCCACTCCACGAATACACACACAATACCGGCCATATTTTATTCGGAAAGTGTTTGTAAGCTGCCCTTATTCTGGTAACGTACGAAGAGAGCCTTATAAATTCTTTATCTTTGTTGGTGTGTAACTTGTCTCGAAAGTTTATAGCGGAACGCAGTCGCTTTAAAACGCTGTGTCAGTCTGTTAAAGCTGAGCTAAGAATAATGTGCGGCAGACCTGTCAAAATGTCGAGCGCTGAATCGCCACCATAAAATTGTACTGGATTATTCTCCGTTAAACACGAAAATGTATTATATATAATATCGGAGCACATTGAATTTAATTATTTAAATGTTCACAGACAAGTTGTATATATAGACGCCGTTTCTTGTCGCGATTAGATAGTTACTTTTAAAATTTACTTTTGCGATGTATAGAAAAAGTACTCAAATTAAAAGAATTATTATTATTCAATTATACCAGAAATGCTATCCATTATGACAGTTAAATATTCATAAAGCTTTAATGTTTCCAAAAAACTGATTTAATGAATAAGAAGTCATACGCTTTAAAAACAACAGTATTACATTTTAAACCCAAGTATCTTGAAAGCACAACCTTCTCAATAATAAGTTGAAGATTGAAGTTTTGATGATCAGTTGAGTTGGAGTGCATGTTAGTTGTTTTCAGAGCGTTTCCTGAGCTCTTAACTTCTATAAAATTCATTTAGTTAATGATGATTTCCAAATTTAATTTAATGATTTGAAGGTTGTTGTTGATGAATCGAACTTTCTGACGTTTCACCAATCATCTTGTTAGCTTTTGCAAGAGGAATGCAGACGTTATTCGTTTTACTTATTTTTCTTAACAATTAAGATTATAATTTCAGTATTATGCCAATGTATTCTAAGAGGAAACCAACACACTGATTATTAGACTTATTAGACTATAATATATGTTTTCCCAGGCCTGAAAATAAAGTGCTTTGTCAATTTAAAAGTGAATGCAATGATGTGGCAATTTACATGACAAATTTATTTTTCTACTCCCTTCTGTAAAATATCTAATTATACACCGATCGATCCGGCGTGCGGAGAGCGTCATTTTACCACGGATCCGAGCCACTTCGGACATTTTTTGGGTAGTACCACGCCGGTGTGGTAGCAATTCTACCGCGCGGTTTATATTTTGAAGTTTGTCAATTCTAACTTTCATGTCAGTGAATGTATTCGTGTTGTTTAGCAAAAATGTGCCCAAAAACCAACTATCGCAAAAAAAGTATGGTATGAAATATGTTTAGTAAATTTTATCGTTTACCACACTTGTTACATAATGTACTATTATCGCACGATACATGAAAATATTTTTGAAAAAAATTGCTGCACATTTAGCACTTTCAACATTTTATTAATTTTGTGTTCTTGAAACTACGTTACTTAATGTTGCATGCGCCCATATAAGTTCCGAATACAACTTCAAAATAAACGAAATTATTCAAATCATTTTATTTTCAATGAAATTCATTAATTTCACTCTCATGTCAATTTAGGATTACGCCGTATTATAACTTCGCAAAACTGTAACAAATAATTTGAAAAGAAATATATCTCGATTAAGGGGATATTTATTACAGCATCCGAGCGATTATAAAACGCCAGATGGGAATGACTTATTTTCGTTGCTCGAACAACATCTTTTAGGTACGGCGTTCCGGAAGACTGATGGAGATTTTATTTGGAAGTAAGGGATGTAAAGTACCATGTTTTATACCGGATTATAGTGCCCGCAAAAAAGTTTATTGCGAAAATAAGGCTTCTAAAATATAAATCAATGAGATGGTTTTACATCCTTTGATTGAGTCTTTTCGTTGTAGGTACATACTTACATGTGTTCTAAACTTTATAGGGAATAACATTTTGTATTTCTTTTTTAACCAATTCGCAATATTTGTTGTGATTGGATTTCAAAACTTTTGTGAAAAACTCATTTATTTGGGACGTAACGACCAAAATGTATCTAATTAATTACACATATGAAATTTTACACATAATGCTAGCAAATGAAACAAACAAAAGAAGAAATCAGTATCATGGTCACCTTAAGCAACATATAAATAAGTTTAGATATCTGAATCGTAAAAAAAACAAAAAAACAAGAATGTTAACATTTTTTTATTCAGGGTTAACACAAAATATCGAACGCATAAAGTTTTAAGACATTCAGAAAGATATATTACTACTACTACTCCTACATACCATGGTCGAACAACACTTTGAGCGTTGTTTCTTATTGTTTTGCTTTTTCCTATTTTTAAATTTAGTAAAACATTACCTAGGTCTCAATGCAAATTTAATAGAATAAAAATATTATTAGCAATGAAGGCTAGAATAAACGAAAAAATACTTAAATATAAGTTATTGTGAAAATATTTGCACACATTGTTTTTTTTATTTTTAGAAGTGACCCAAATTTTAAATTTAATTGAAAGTGACTTACATTAACAAGTAAAACGATTAATGGCGGCTGACAGTTCAGACGTCATTACTACGCACATGGGTTCGACTACACAACAAACCAAATGAAACATAATTTATTCGTGAAATGCTCCTATAGATCATTTTCCTTGAAATATTTTCCGGGCATTTTTATAGTTTGCCACGTAAAAATACCGATATTGCATCCAGAACATGCACGCTAGAATTCTTTGTCAATTCGGAATTCGTTCCAAGGCATCTGCTAGAAATTCTCCTTTCGCATGTATATTAAAAAGTATAATATAGTATCCCCGTCAGGATATTGATTTCGACAAGTGGAATTCCTATGCAGTGATTTTTACAGTTTGAGATTGATTTTTATACTCGTCTGAAAAATAATTTCCTTGCTGGTTAAATTAATTGATGGCAGCTGTACAGATTTTTTCCAATTTTTTTCTATTCTTGGAAATATCTATTAAATATTATCTGATGTAAGGCATTTGAGATAATTATAATGGAAAAATAAATCTACTCACAAAAGTGTGTAAAATAATTTTTTTTCAAAGTAAAAGCACTTTGAAAGGACGGCTAATGACATTTTGTGTAAATTTTGAAGTTTGTTAAAAATAGCCATTTAGAGTTTAGTAACCCAGAAATTGAGGTTTCTGGCAGAACACTATAGATTTGAAATACTCTTCACTATTGAAGAAAACTTCCCAGAAATCCCATTAATTTTTCGGATACTGTAAAAGCAGTCCAATTATTCCTTCCAAAATTGCGTAGCGGCGAAGACTACAAAAAATCTGCTGACAAAATTAAATAGCGACGTTCTTAAATTGGAAACAAACGATTCACTTTGAAAAACATAATCTGTCACAACTTCCATTTAGCAGTCGTCTCCGAGAAATTATTTCAATTAACACGGAACTTTCTCAGAAAAGAGCCTCCACGACATTTAATATTCGGTACAAGTTTTCAATGCCGCGACTTAGTTTGCATGACATTATATCCGAAGGAGACCCCGCGAGCCCTTAATATTGGCGGAACCAACAAATATATCATAATCTTATAAAAATAGCTTTAGAGATATTTATATCGCCTTTTAAATTATTTTATAAGATTTTTGAGTTTTGCACGAAGTACATTGGAGAAGCACGATGTACTGGGCGCTGTCAATCATGTACCATTTAAAAGTGATCTAATTAGATATCCACTTGGTCCAATAAATTCTTAATCAAAAAGTTCAATTTGAGTATTAAGCGTATAAGTTGAGTAACTGAAAAAATGTCGCTGAAATTCCCCACAACTCTCCAAAAATATCCAAATGTACTCCTTCAAATTTTTGAGATTTATTCCAAGTATTTGGTGAAGTCAAAAGTGATATATTGTATTAAAAGAATGAAAAATGCAATACAAAAATATGGTTTCGAGCTAGAAACAAAATAAATTTGGTTTCGCAACACGTAATATAAGTTTTCCAGCAATTGAGATTGCGAATCTATTGTTACAGCTCCTGAAAATAGATTTTAAAATTTAATACCATATTCGGTCTCTTACAGACTGTAAAATCGTTATTTTTGGGAGGGGATACAAAAATATGTTTAAGATAAAGAAAATCACCCATGTTGGATGCAATACATGGCAGACGTGACACTCGAAGGTGTATACGTATATAGTAAGTGACCCACCCTGATATCATCGTTCACACAATTACTTAATATTTACTATAAAAAAATCATTCAAACTGTTTCTCTTACATTTTATACATTGATGATAAACTTCAGCTTTTCATTATAGCTCCGAAACTCCCAGAAATACATCAAAATTTTCGAAAATACTTTGCAATCCTCTTGGAATTCTTTGCCCTTGTCCGTTAAAATACCCGGTAAATTACCTCCCGGTGTTAAGTAACTTCTACGATAAAAAATAAACCGCGTTTAATTGTAATATTTTTCTAAAGTATTTTTCATTGAAAGCCATTCTGTCATCCTCACTACTAAAATAAAAACAGGCGGTAAGAAAGCGTAGCTTCATCGAAGAGGGAGGGAGAAAGGCTTGTGGTAGAGCTAGCTCACTGTTTACCTTTTCCGTTTACCGTAACTCTGCAAAACCCGTTGTCACTAACTGCAACGTTGCCAGTATTCACATTTTTTCATGTTACCACTTAAATCATTGAGCGACGTTTAATTGTTATTTGATTTGGCTTCTCTTTAATAAATAAGTGTAACGTCGACGGAAGCAATTCTTTAATCCCTTCCTAAAGTCGATAAGTAACCATTTGACAACGTCGCGAAAACTTGCAATGGGTCATGCGACGTCCCCACTGTTCTGAGGGACTCCGCTAAACGCTAAAATTAAATTATTAAACGCTGAAAACACTAAAGAACCCTCAATACTTTCAAAGTAATAATCGTCTTTGTTGCGTAGCCCTACAATCGCGAACGTCTTTATTTTGATTAATTCTCCTCATCTGTAACGTTTTTATTGGCGAATTTATTTCATTCGTTCGCGCGTAACAGAAAGATGGTTGGGGCGCGACGCCAAGACGCGTTTATCAATTTTGTTGTGCCGGGAGAAATGTTCCCCGCCAAAAAGAATTTAATTATGAAAATCGCGCTGTAGATAGGTTCCTTCGCTAAGAGATTTGTGTTCCGGAGTGGGGAAACGAAATTAAATTCTAAGTGAAATGCGTGGCATCGCGTTTAAAAGGTGCCGTTTCAAAACCGACGAAATTGGTGAAATTTGACATTCGGGCATTCGGAAAGTGTGATTTTTTGAAATATTTTTAGTACTCGCGGGATAAGGTTACAGGTTCCATTAGAATGTCTATTAGAATGTTTATGTCTATGTCTATAATGCCTATAAACTTATCGCTTACTTTGAAGAAAGGAAATTATTAACAGATTCCCAATTTGGTTTTCGGTCAGGTAGGTCCACCATCCGTGCCTTATACACAATGATTGAGTATGTGGTTGATGGGTTTGAGGAGGGCCTGATGACTTCGGTAACGATGTGCGACCTCAGCAAGGCATTCGACTGCGTGGATACTAATATACTTCTTTCCAAACTTGAGTACTACGGAATTCGTGAAAATACCCTAGTCCTTTTATTTATTTGACCGGAAGAAAGCAATATGTTGTCTGGAATGATCGGGAATCCACTCTGTTGGACATTACTAATGGAGTGCTTTAGGGTTCCATCCTTGGTACACTTTTGTTTATAATATACATAAATGATGTAGTATTTGCAACTAATGCTGCTCGCAGTATACTCTTTGCGGATGACACATCATTGATTTAATTTAAATTTAAATAAAAAGCTGTCCACTCTCCATGATTGATGATGAGTGGTTCTCTGCAAATAAACTTAAATTAAATTCTGATAAAACAAAGACACTAATTTTCAATACCAATAGAAGAAGTAAAAAATCTGAACCGGTCAAACTTGTTGGTGTCTACCTAGATGCGTTTTTAACCTGGTCGACTCATATAGACTACCTGTGCTGTAAATTGTCTTCTCAGAGTTTTGTTCTGAGACAACTGCGAGGATCCATCTCGCAAAGCACTCTCCGTATAGTTTATTTTGCACTGTTTCATAGTGTCTTATCATATGGACTACTATTGTGGGGGAACGCGATGGCGGCCGAGAGAGCCTTTAGATTGCAGAAGTCTGCGGTTCGGGTTCTTGGGGGTGTTCCGCCGTCCAGACACTGCCAGAATTGAAGATACTTACGTTACCATGTATTTTTATTTTCCAAACTTTAGTTGAAATCCACTCAAATTGGTCTGTTTTTCCGACTCATGCTGGATATTACAGCTATATGACGCGAACAGCTGACAATATCATAAATTAAGATCAAGGTTGTGTACTACATAAAACAATAAACTTAATCTAGATTTGTATAATATTTTTGCAAACACTCTTTTTCGGTCCAAAAATATTGATGTTAAACGACTTTCCACTAAAAAATTGAAACAATTATCAAAAAAGTTTTTTGAAGAGCATTGTTTCTATTCCATAAACGAAATTGTTACTCATCGGGCACAGTAGATCTAAGTTATTTTAAGTTATTTTATAAATTATTATTATTATTATTCTTAGAGTGTTTTACTTTCTGGTGACACTGGTTTTTTTATTTAGCTCAAATGCTTATCCTTTATTTTCAGAATAAAGGGTAGCCTACCATTTTTTCTTCCATAATAGTTGGTTCAAATACCTTACGGACGCAACTCTCCTTCCACAAAAGAGAACAAAAATCTTAGGGAGAAAAGTTGTATGAATTCATTGATACTTTTTAAATATTATATATTTCATGAATTTCTGACATATTTTGACATTTATGTCAAAAGTGACATTTGTAAGCCTAAATAAATCTATCACTGTCCCTAAATGTTAACTATTTGGGGTTGATTTTTTTTTATCGAAGAGAGACTACCTTAGGGGTCCGTATTGATATTTTAAAAATAAATAAATATAATAAATAAATACGTACAAAAAATGTTAAAGTTTTTTTTTCAAATAAAAATACCTCATTTTTATAGCTTTATCGTATTTGGCATTTTATCGTAACTTTATCCCATTTGTTATAGTGTTAAATATTTCGACATATTAGCAATAAAATATTTTTGATAATTTTTTATGAACTACGTCAAAATATAGCCAGCGTTATATAAACCAAATGAAGCACTGTTTTTAACGATTAATAGAAAAATTTAAAACTGTTTATTGTTATAACAAACTATTATGTATTATGTGCCATACATACGACACATAGTACTGTTATAAGGAGAGCAACCCTAAATATATAATTATAAGCTTTCTGTCGTAGAAATTGATCCGATATATTTATTTCCTCAAAGGTCACTTTAGACGTAAAATTCGAAATATATTGGAAACGGTCAGATTCACGTATAGGATAATATACCGTGTGAATTGTATACACTTGTAAAATATTTGTTTATGGTACGATTTTGATTTTTGTTTTTTTGGATAGGTCTCTGAAAAATGCACTACAATCTTGTTTTGCTTACTGCATCAACTTAAAATCATGGCCAACTCAGATAATTTAACAAAACGAGGGAAGATGGAAGTACTATTAGGTCTTACTCAGGATTACTTAGGACCCATCTATATCAATTTTTATAATATTTCAATATGCGGTGTAAAATCTTTGATTTGATGTTTTTTTTTTGTTGGATAGATCTCTCAAAAGCCCACTAAAACCTTCTATTTCTTTTTACAGCAACCTAAAGTCTTAAGCGAACTGCATGAAAGTAGATGTATAGTGCCGATATAAGCAACAGAAACCGTACATAACCTCAATTTCCTAACCCCCCCGCAGCGGGGGCCCCCCGCGCGTGTCCCCCCTGTCTACCAGAGTGCGCTCCGCCCCCCACCCAGCTTGTGTAGCGTCCTGTTTTGCCCCGGTTCCGCCCGTCGCTGCTAGATGTCGCGCGCTTGTGTAGCGTCCTGTTTTGCCCCGGTTCCGCCCGTCGCTGCTAGATGTCGCGCGCTCCGACCGTCGTAGGCCCCCCCGGTAGAGGGCGGTGACGGTGCGGCGCGGTGACGCGGTGGATCGGGAGGATAATTAAATAAACTTGAATTTTAATACATTTTATTTTATTTTATTTATAAAATTGGTCTGGCGAGGAGTTTCTTCTTCTTTTTATGTCGATTCAGTCGACCATCCCATTGTTCCTGTTCCTTGCGTTGTTCTTCTTCCCGTTCCCGGAGGAAATCTAAATACGAAGTGCACTCCTCGCCGTCCCACTCCGTCGACCACCCACCCGGGTACTCCTGCTGCTCCTTTGTTTCTTTTGATCCACCGGGTTGCTCCTGCTGCTGGTGATGTTCCCTTGTCGTTTCATGTCGTACCGGGAATTCTAACCCCCGGTACTCTTTGTGTGATTTGAATATGTGACGCCCTAAGCGATGCGCCAACATAATATGCGACTTGTCATACGGACAAACCGCGATTTTTTCTAGAACAAAACAAAGTATGATATGTAGCGTTTCCTATAAAACACACATTTTTTTTTTAAACAAAACTTCCAAAAAGGGGGGTTATCAAATAATTTTAAAAATTGTTTTTTAAGTTATACGCGCATACCAAAATTCACGTTTCAATTCACTGTCATTTAAATGTAAGTGTATTATTGTCAAAAGGGCAAACTGCAATTTTTTAGTACAAAAAATAAACAAAAATATGTATATATTTCGCGTTTTCCCCATAAAACGCACATTTTTGAAACAAAACTTTCAGTAATTTTAAAAATTGTTTATTTTTTAAAAGCCAAAATTCCCTATTCACTGTCATTTAAAAGATATTAAAAACGCTCAATTTAATTCGATTATTATTGTCAAAAAGGCAAACTGCAATTTTTTAGTACAAAAAATAAAACATTTTTGAAACAAATTTAAAAATTGTTTATTTTTTAAAAGCCAAAATTCCCTTTTCCATTCACTGTCATTTAAAAGCTATTAAAAACACTCAATTTAAATCGGTTATTATGCAACGTAAAAAAGATGAGTATCATATTTTAAAACAGGTAGAAACTAACCAAAAAAGTGATAACCCAAACTGAAACCCACAAGAAAAGACGCGCACTGTATAAAGGTAATTAAAATATAAAACTTACCAGTTGTAGGGTCGTAGGGAAATGGACATCGCACTTCTCTATTCATTGCACTGAATATAGTCTATAATACACATGCAACGTATTTATACACATGCACTCCCTTCCATGGTTGAATTAAAAGTCGAAAGGTCTTCTACCCACAAGCACCAACGCCGATTTGAATAGACGCGATGTTGTCGCCAGACAACCGTGCAGGTAGAAGTCTCAAGGTCAACACGCTTTCACACGGGAACGCAACCGTTTCGGACGTTGGACGAACGTATGTTGCCGCAAAAGATCAAGGCCAACTTGCTTTCATTTTTTACAATCTCCGTATGGGATGTGGAATTTCAAAACGCGCCGAGTCTAAATGTCAAGTTGTTTTGCTTGTTGAGAATAATAATTAATTGCCCCCTTTATATTTGCTCCGTGGGATTAACGTAATGGGAAAAATTTGTTGCAACGCATGTGGAGGTGTCTTCGTTTGTTAACTTTTAGAAAGTATTCTCGCACCGTATAAATACATCTCATTTTTCTCTGTTTTGTCAGTAGTTGTTTTTGGTATTATTCGTGCAACGTGGAAGCTAACTTAGTGGTTTGGTGTTCGTACAAAAAAGCAGTAAGTACCTTTTTTATTGTCTTATTTTAATTCTTTAACATTTGTTATTATTTTATAAAGTTCCTAAAGATCATCTTAGTACTCTCAACCCGTAACCGCAAATAGAATAGCAGCAATCTTAAGCGTAAGTTTTTTTTATTTTTTTAATTTTGAGATAAAATAATTAATAATAATTTATAGATGGACTTAAGTCAACTGAATCAAACCTGTCTTGCAGAAGGTGATTTTGAGCAGCCGATTGTCAAACTGCATGAATTGCCGATAGGCGTTCCGTTTAAAATTACTAGAGCCAAAATTGTTAATACAAAATTTGGCAATTCCGTGTTGCTGCAATTAGAAAATTCCGTAGTATTTCTTCCTACTCGCGTGACAGAAGCTTTCCGTCCGAGACTAGAACACTTTGCGTCGGGGCAGTACAAACTGGTCTACGAGGGATCCAAAGATATTGGAAAGCCCAACTCTTTAAAGAAATTCAAAATAATTCAAAATTAATCAACATATTATACAGGGTAAGTCTTATTTACTGTTATATATTTAATAAACCACGATGCGCGTAAAGCAGATCATTCATAGAGCGCAAATCTTAATTTTAACCTTACAAAAATTAAAAAAGCATATTTCCGACAAGTTCACTCTTAGAGATAGTGATGTGTGGCTTAGGAGACTAAATAAAAATATTGAATCTTGCAACCAAATCGTTTCTAACGAAAAGGATTTCTCTATTGGGTTAAAAAGAAAATTACAAACTACAATTCAACATCTGAAAGCTATTAGAAAAATTATTCTTAATTATCAACATAAGCATTTTGGATTGGGATTACAAAGTAGTAGCCGCGAGACAAACACAAATGAAATGGTTGTATGGGAATCGGTAGCGTCGTGTTTCCAGGGAAGAGTTCAGACCGGTGTCATAATTAATTTACTTCATAAAGATTTAATTCAATTTTTAAACGATTCTCGTCCAATATTTCAACAAAAAATTAGTCAAATTTTAAAGAAATTTTTATTGCTGAAAGTAAATACCACATTTTGCGGTGAATTTATTAAGGCAAAAAATGATGTCCAAGGCGAAGTTGATGTTAAATATCTGAGTACCGGAAATGCTGTAGTTGATTTAGGAACAGAATTGAATGATTGGTTTGTTGAAAATGTGCAAGATAAAATTTTAAATCAAATGTCAGAGTTTCAGGAACGTGATTCCGGGTGGGCTTTAAATAATATTATTTATTTAGAGATTAACATTAATAAATTTGAAATGGGTAACGGGTCATCCTTCGTTGAGTTGCCTAAAGAAATTGCGAATAAAAGGGCTTGTATTAACATTAGAAATGACGATCAAGCGTGTTTTTATTGGTCAGTTGTATGCGGACTCTTTCCAGCACGTTTTCGTCAGTATTTACCCTCTTCATATCCATACTACAAAAGTGTTTTGAAAACTGAAAATTTACAAACACCTATGGAAATGAATAAAATAAGCAAATTTGAAAAAGACAATGATATTTCCATCAATGTTTATATCTTAGAGCTTAATAAAAATGAAAAAACTAGTTTTTATTCCGTGTTACCTGCACGATTAACAAAAGAAAAACGCGAAAAACATTCAAATTTGTTGTTAATACAAAATAAATATTATCCAAAAGTTAATGATTTTGATCCTGATCCGCAAGATAATGATTATGAAGAAATAAAATATCACTATTGTTACATTAAAAATTTGTCTCGATTAGTTTCCTCACAGCTCAGTAAATATAATCACAAGAAATACATTTGCGATAGGTGTTTGAATTATTTCAATAACGAAACTCGTCTACATGACCACGAAACAATATGTTCCAGTTTCAATGAGTATAAAGTGTCTTTTCCCAAATATGATTACGTTGAATTTCGAAACCATATATATAAACAAAGGACTCCGTTTGTAATTTACGCCGATTTTGAGAGTCAATTGAGAAAAGTAAATTTGAAAATTTCAGATAAAACCTCGAAATACCAAAAGCACGAAGCTTACAGTGCTGCATATTACTTTAAATGTTCTTATGATGATTCAATATCATTTTTCAAAAGTTATCGTGGTCTAGATTGTATTGATTGGTTCGTGGAGGAAATATCTAATTTATCAAAATTTGTTCGTTCAAAATTTAAGGATATTATACCAATGGATAGTGAAATTAGTCTAGATCAAAGGTCGAGTCATTGTCATATTTGTGAAAAACCTTTTTTAAAAGAAGATGTTATTGTTCGTGACCATGATCATTTTACTGGTAAATTTAGAGGTTTTGCCCATCAGGCTTGTAATTTAAATTTTAAAAAAATATTTGTAGTGCCCGTAGTATTCCAGAACCTTTCTGGATACGATAGCCACTTCCTGCTTCCGGTTTTAGCAAAAAAAAGCTATGTATCCATAGTTCCGGTTAATAAGGAAAAATACATCTCTTTTACATATTTCGAACCTGATTATAACATAAAATTTAGATTTATAGATTCGTTTAGATTTTTGGGAGCATCTCTGGATAATTTAGTTTCCAGTATGGATAAAAATGAACTATATATTTTAAGAAAAGAATTTTCCGATCTCGACGAATCAAAATTAAATTTACTGTCGCAAAAAGGTATTTTTTGTTACGATTACATCGACCATATAGACAAATTAAATGAAACAACTTTACCCCCGATTGAAGAATTCTATAATAAATTAAGTGAAAGCAATATTAGTGAAGAAAAATATTCCCACGCACAAAGTGTTTGGCAGTCGTTTGAAATAAAAAATTTAGGCGAGTATTCAGATTTGTATTTAAAAACCGACGTTATTCTTCTGGCAGATATATTCGAAAATTTTCGAAAAACTTGTATGGCAACACACGTTTTGGATCCGGCGTGGTATTTCAGTATGCCCGGGTATACATGGGATTGCATGCTTAGATTCACAAAATGTCGTTTAGAACTTTTGCGCGACATTGACCAAATTATGTTTATCGAGCGGGCTATACGAGGTGGAATTTCGGTGTGTGTTGGTAGATATGCGGAGGCCAACAATAAATATATGCCCAACTACGATTCATCCAGGGATGATTCCTATATCATGTACTTTGACGTCAATAACCTCTATGGCAAGGCCATGTGCGAGCCTCTTCCTTACGGAGGATTCGACTGGATGTCTCATCAAGAGATTGATTCATTTAATGTCATGAACATTCCAGATGAATCTTCCCAAGGATATATCCTAGAGGTAGACCTGGAATACCCGCAGAAATTACATGACACACATAGAGATTTTCCATTTTGTGCCGAACATCGAGTGCCCCCCAATTCAAAGTTACCAAAACTAATGACTACTTTGTATAATAAAGAAAAATACGTCATACACTATCGCAATTTAAAACAGGCTCTCAAAAACGGTCTCGTACTAAAGAAAATTCACAAAATATTAAAATTTAACCAATCTCGTTGGTTGAAATGTTATATCGATCATAATAATAAATTAAGAACCCAAGCAAAGACAAAATTTGGTATAAATTTATACAAATTGTTTAATAATGCCGCTTACGGTAAAACAATGGAAAACATTCGCAAGCATCGTATTGTTAAATTTGTTAAAGCGTGGGATGGTCGCTACGGTGCGAAAAATTTAATTTCTAGTCCTAGATTTCACAGTAGAACCATACTTGATAACAATTTGTTGCTTATAGAATTAAAAAAATCGGAACTTTGCTTTAATAAGCCACTTTATATTGGAATGTCCATATTGGATTTGTCGAAAACGACCATGTACGAGTTTCATTATAATTACATGCTTCCAAATTTGGGTCCCGAAAAATGTAAAATTCAATACATGGATACGGACAGTTTCATTTATAATATCAAATGTTATGACGCATATGAAAGCGTTATTAAGGCCGATTTAACAAAATTTGACACGTCTGATTATCCTAATGACAATCCCTATAATATACCGCAAATCAACAAAAAGGTTTTGGGGTTGATGAAGGATGAGACTAATGGCACCATCATTAGTCATTATGCTGGGTTAAGGTCGAAAATGTATACTTTCAAAATTTTAACGGGTTCGGTAGTTAAAAAGTCAAAGGGTATTCAGTACAATATTGTAAAAAATAAAATTTCATTTGATGACTACGTAGAATGCTTAACAAATTTTAGGGAAAAGTACGCCACTCAACGAACCATTCGTTCATACACTCACAATGTATTTAGCATCGAACAAACAAAAGTTGCCTTGAGTCCTTTAGACGATAAACGTTATCTTTTGCCGAATTCATATGAAACGCTTCCGTGGGGACATTATAAAGTGCCGTAATTATTTTTTAATATATTTTTGTTACAGATTATGGTCAAACAACTTACATTAGAAAGCCTTTGTATTATAACAATTTGCGAAAATATTAGGTGTAGTGCTGATTTTTTGCTTGAGTCACCTTTGCCTTGGAAACTAACGATACTAATATTTAAATATTATTCGAAATATAGATGGAGGTACCTTAAACAACTAGCGCTCCAGTCTGATGGCAATTCTTTATTAAATTTAGAATTCATTCTGTTGAATAAGAGATTTGGATCGTCTTACAGAAATAGCATTTTGGCAACTCCAACCATTGATTTTGACGGAGAATCCGCTTACTGTTTATGGGTCAGTTATTACAGGATAAAATATTCGGAAATTTTAGTTTGTAAATCTTGTCACTTTATATTTCAAGTAGTTAAAAAATTTAAAAAGAAAAATTTTAGACTTTTATTGGATCACTATCATTTACAGCTGGATATAAATAATTTGAATGATGTATATCACGATAAACAATTTTGGTGTCAAAGCTGCTTTGAAGAAGTTTTGTTCACTGTAGAAACTGAAGATGAATGTAATTTAATGCTTCACGATGAGAGAAAATATGGAAAAAAGTTACGCTTTTCTGATAGCACATTGAACTATTAATACTGTGGTTTTATTATAACATATGTAACTGTAGATAAGGCTTTTATGTATTGATTGTATGCCATTGTATTGCAACAAGAATAAACATGTATATATTTAGACGCTATTTTCTTTTTTACCACCACCACAACACCGCATAATAATTACACAGAAGTTTGTAATTGTATAATTTATTTATTATATACATTATTACTATTTTACAATTTCGTTAAATGCTAAATTATTAAATTGTTCTAGTTTTCTTTTGCACTCTTGAGCTTGCATCCGCGCCACTTGCAAGTCTGTATTAAAAAGCGCAATTTGTGTTTCAATTTCGTTGATATTGCACTCTAATCCCGACAACTGAGACGCCAAGTTTCTTTTTAAATTGAATGCCTCACAAATGACACTTTTTTCTCTACCGTCCGTGAACACTTCGAGCCAATCAGCGGATGACGTTGGAGCTGCAAACGCTTCACTTGTGGTAGTTTTCTTCTTCTTCTTGCGGGATACGACCGACGCACTTTGTATTCGTTTGGTCGCAGATTTTTTGGTTTGTTGCTCTACAGGAACGAAGCTGGACGGGAGCACTTCTGATGAAGGAAATTGCAACTCGAAATTTTCCAATAAATTATACAATTCGTTGGATGTCACAATTTTCTCTTGAGCCATCATATACACGTATTTATGTCAGAACTTCTAAATCGAGACTAAATTTATTTCAAAACGTCTACGTTGTCTACCCACGAATCGTGCGACTTATCCAATCCCAACCAGCGCACGAGAACCATATTGCCTCGTCTGCGCAACACCTTTTCGACGAGATATAAGTCCGGGTTAACTGTCTTCTGCAATTCTTCTTCATAAAATCCGCCCATTATGGGTTTACCCTGCATATCTTGAAGCAAATACGTTACGGGGTTAGTAACCCGTACTTTAACAATTTTAAACAATTCCGTGGTCCAATTCGGTGTATAACCTTTGTTGAAAACGTGCTTGACTTTGCTGATTCTAACGATGTCGCCGACTTTAAGTTTACGAGGACCGAATATTTTTATGCTACTATACGCGGTTTTCAAAATTCTCTTTTCGTTGCTCTTACTCACATCGATGGGTTTCGTACCCGTCGTTCTATGTTTTGTGTTATTGTATTCATCAACGATAGAGGCGAGCACATCGATCCATTTGTACGTCCCGCGTAAAGAAAAATGTCGAAACAATTTCTCTTTGAGGGTACGTATCACCCGTTCGACAATTGAGGCCTTTTTTATGCTATACGTACTATAGTGGTTAATTTTATGCTTATCCACAAGTTTCAGAAACGTGTCGTTGTAAAATTCTTTACCGAGATCCGTTTGCAAGTTTTGAGGGTGCCGTCCGTCCTTGAGAATTTTGGAAAACGCCTTGGCGACTTCGACCCCGGTTTTGGTTTTCAACGGGCGACACCATACATATTTTGAGAAACAGTCTATCACAACCAGCACGAATTTAAAATTTCTGTTTTGTTTGCTGTAGCGATCTAATTGGGCCAGATCCGCTTGCCACAGGTCATCCATCCCTCGTATTATAGTCCGGCGGCGAGCATAATTTCTGCGTGCCGGCTTGTGCAGTTCTCGAACCAGTTGTACCTTCTCTTTATTCATAATGTGTGTTCGGTTGCGATGGAGGATTTAAAACCCTTTGTTTCAATACCTTCATTATATTCTCATTTTCGTTCGTAAGTCGCTCCATTTTGGTTACAATATCATGAAATTGCTGTGACAAAACGGCGACTTTTGTCATGTGCTTTTCCAAATCTTTCTTTGCGCTCATTTCGCTTAGCTTTTGGTGGAAAACTTCGCGAAACTGCATAATTTCATTTTCGAGTGTAGTGCTACTCATTTTCAGTTGTTCTTCAAGACGCGAGAATTTAGTTTTGTCTTCAATTTGTAATCTTTTCGTGTACGCTTCGAGTTTCTGTCCAATAATCTTTCTCAATGCAATTTTTAATAAATTACTTGTCTCATCCACATATTTTTTGTTAGCCACGTCACCGTCATCGCTAGGCGTTTGGACATTGCAAATTTTTAAATTGTTCATATTGACGTTTCCGTCTGGCATATAGTCGAGGGCGCTTCTAATCACAGTATTAGTGAAGGGTCGTTTAGAGCGCAGCGCGCTAGAACGTCCAAACTTGTCCAGACTCATCGTTAAACTAACGTATAAAACCTGATTCTTTTAGCTCTTCAACGATTGAAACTATTTCGTTATCATGAGACGTGTTGCCTGCGTGTTTCGACGCGATTAGTAATTTCAGACGCTCTACGAGTTCATTGACGTCGTCCCAGTATACATATTCAGTAGGAGCGTCATTATAACGCATATTATAACCTTGACCGCTGTACGAGTACGAACGCGACTGAGATTTTATTAAGGGTCGGATGACCTTGGTATATTTTGGTACAGTCGATGCGCCTTTCAAACGTCCGATCGCGTCCCTGTGCACCTGGGTAGCCTCCATTATTTTTTTATATTGTGCCAAATCGTCTTTTGTGTATGCTATGGGATCTTTCAAAAACACCAAATTATACAAGCCGCGGGTACCGGAATATCTCTCGCCGTCTACAATAATATCGCCAGATCCTTGATGAAAATCCAGCGATTTATTGCCGAGAAACCATTTGGATGATATTTTGTCGTAAACGGGTCCGTAAACAATATCGGTGTCGGGCGATTTTACCCATAAATTTTGAATATATGAATGGGAAATTTCTGGATATTGTTCCAGGTATGATTGAAGGGATGCGTTGGCCACGCTCGATGTGTCAAACACATCATCTTCCTCCTCATCGATATTTTGCATCTCAACGCTCTTATTGGGATCCGGCGTTTCCTGAATTTCTTCCATAGGCAAAAATGATACGTTAACCTTATTTTTTGTTTCTTCGTTCGGTTCCTTTTTGTGTTCCCGCTTGACACCTCGACGTTCAGTTTTTATTTCTGCCGGTGACGGTGATAGCTTTATTTTTGCTATACGTTCTAGCGGCTCGCTGACGGGTTTGAAAAGCTTCCGAATTGACGCATCCTCTTCGCTCTTACCCAATTTTAATGTTAAATACTTCTTTCGAATAGATCTAGACAACTCGTTTACTTTTTTTTTTAGCGCCGCGTCGGCGATGTCGGCGGACGTCGCCTTCATGACTGTTTCTATCGACAATTAAATATCGACTTTTATATATTTATCGAAACCCTTGCGGTAGCGTCCGTTTTTTACGTCGAAATCTTTGACAATTATCAAACAGCCGTACTTTTCTTTCCAGCACTCGGAACAAATTTGTTTAAACGTGTCGTATGAAACGTCGGGTGAGACATGTTCATCATAAACGTGACGTAAATTCATGTCATCCTGTTTAAACAACGCGACAATATTGCAATTGTCACGTATCAATTGCTTGGGTACCTTGGAGTATGTCTGACAGAGATAAATAGCGTCGATGGCCTTGTGTCGGCACATCGAAAAATACTCGCGAATTTTATCTTGCTTGTCGCACGCCACGTCGTCGAAAATAAACAGAGAATTCTCTTTCGCGTCGCTGGGGTCGATTATCGAGTCTCTTTCACTGTAGGGATAATATCCAACTCCTTTGACATTGCTCAATACGCGAGATAACAGTTGATATTTTGGTTGATACAACGACTTTGAGTAGACGTAAACATTTTCGAAACTTGCCCCGTTGGGGTTAAAGAGTAGCGCTAACATGGTGTTGGTTTTGCCGCAACCGCTAGGTCCGCAAAACACCGCCCTAAATGAATTGGGTAGCAGTTGACCGTGTTTGCTTTTGTTAAAGAAACCATCTCCGCAAACCAAATCTAAATTATCGATGGGGAGCTTGAGTTTCTGCTGCACCACCCGCATGACTACAATGTTTATTCGAGACACCTCGTATATATATACGACACAAGCAATTTCCTTTAATTAGTATGTTATGCTTCGCGTCCGGAAGTGGTCTCGTTAACACGCTTATTAACAAGTTACCTTTTGAAGTACACATTCCGGGTTACCAGTTTTGCGGTCCCGGTACAAAATTGGAAAAACGCTTGAACCGAGGCGATAGCGGGGTGAATCCTTTGGACGCTGCGTGTAAGGTACACGACATTGCCTATTCGCAAAACAAATCGTTAGACGAACGTCATAAAGCGGATAAAGAATTGGAAACGCGTGCGTGGCAGCGAGTAAAATCTAAAGACGCAAAGTTTGGTGAAAAAGCTGCCGCATTCTTTGTCACCGCGACTATGAAAACTAAACGTAAGCTCGGTATGGGTCAACAACGGCGTCCCTCTGTTTCGTTTCGACAGGGTGTCGTGAAAAAGGTTCGCAATGCATTAAAGAAGAAACAATTGTTTCATATCGATAACCCTAAAATGCTTAGAAGATCGGCACTGGAAGCGCTTCGAGCTGGCAGAGCCGCTGTAAGAAAAGCGGGAGGACGTAAAAAAATTAGGGTACCTAGAATTATACCGTTCGAATCAAAATCGGGCGGTATTTTACCACTTTTACCGTTATTAGGAGCGCTAGGGGCTTTAGGTTCGCTCTCGGGCGGAGCCGCTGCTATCGCTAAAACTGTCATCGATGCGAAAAACGCACGAAAGAAACTCGAAGAGGACAACCGCCATAACCGAGCTATGGAAGAGATTGGAAAAAAGGGATCGGGTCTATTCTTGAAAAAGAGTCCGCGCGGCGGATTCGGTCTTTATCTGAAGAAACAAAAAAACTCCCAATAAAGCTACCCAGAAGGGCTCTATACGACGTCGATTTAATATCTCTGGCGCGCAAATTAAAAATTCCTCACTTCAGGGGTGTTTTTATGCGAGATAGTTTACCCCGTCGAATCAGATCGCAAGAATGCGGAATCGTAAATTTGGATGTTCGTCGAAATAGAGGAACCCACTGGGTAGCATACAAAAAGAGGAAGGGAAACGATGTTGAGTATTTTGACAGTTTCGGTAACCTTAAACCACCCGCGGAACTTGTTAAATATTTCGGCAACAGCGCCAATATCTACTATAATCACGATAGATATCAAAAGTTTACGCAATACAATTGCGGTCATTTGTGTTTGCAATTTCTCTATAAAAAGGACTGAAATCGCGGACCTATAAGCAGTCAACATGTCGATCATATTTACGTTAAAAGGGAACACGTCGACATTATCCATCGACTTTGTCAATCCGCTGCAGTTGGATGAAGATGTAGAGTACGGTT